TGGGGAGTTTGTCCTAAAGAAGTCTTGCCTGCTGCCTGCAGAGACCTGAATTCTGGAACGCTGTGTTCCTGACCCCTCAGGGCCACTCCTGACCCCTCAGGGCCACTGGGACCTGGGACATGAAGCCCCGCAACTCTCACTCCTGTTGTCTTTTTCTGGATTTCTTCTGCATTATTTCCTACCCATTCCTTTGTTCCTTTCTGGTCCCTGGCAGTGTAACTAGTTCCCACGGGACTGGTAGCCTAAAGGTTGGTGGTTCAGCCCCACCTAGTGGTGCTGTGGGGTGAAGGCCTGGCCACCTGCTTCTGACCCATGCAGCCCAGTTCTGCTCTGTAACACAGGGGTCCTGTAGTCAGAATCGCTCCATGGTGTGGGATCCAGCCCTCTCCCGGATCCCATCCTAATTGACCTTGACTCCTGGTGGCCTTTGCCCAAACCCAGGTGGTAAACGAACGGAAAGCTAAGACTTCTGTAGTCATATTGATGTTCGATGAGAATAGAATAGATGATGAGTCTCTTTTGGTGAGTAGAATAGAAGGAAATGGCATTCTGTGCAGCAGTTTCAATCTCGTTTCCCCCTTAACATCATACTGTCATTGGAGGAACTCCGGTGGCATAATATGTTCACGTGCTTCACTGCAAGCTGAAAGGTGAGAGGTTCGATTCCACCAGCCCCTGATGAGGCACTCTGGCCTGTAAAGATCTCTGGCTTCAGAACCCATGGACCGCTCCGTCCTCCGGGTCAGTTGGACATCAGCGGGCGTGATGTTGGTCAGACTGAGTGTCATTGAACTGTCCGAGAGCGTGACGTGGCATTGCCAGGTCGGCCCCCCACACCCCTGTCCTGTCACCGCTGTCAGCGGCTGTGTGGGCTCCTTCTTTAGGGGAGTTCTGACGGGAGTCTCAGGATCCAACAGCACACAGCCGTTTAGAGCGGTCATCAAAATTACCGACTTACTGTCTAGAGAAATCTGTTGACTTTCGTACCTACTGTGTATACGTTACCAGTGAGTCAGCTTTGCTTCATAAACATCCCGTAGAGCAGCTGGTGGGTTTGAAGCACCAGGTTTCAGTAGTTGAGCGTTCCAGCCACTGTGTCACCAAGGCCCTTTGACTTCAGTGCACCCACTGCCAACCTCCCGCTCACTCCTGACTCAGCCACTTCCACCAGGTTTCCCAGGCTGTGAATGTCCACGGGAGGAGACGGTCTGGAGTTCTCCTCCAGAGCAGCTGGTGGATTCATACTTCTGTCCTTGTTGTTAGCAGCACGGATACGTTACACCCTATGCTACCCTTCCCCTGTGTGTTTAGGGACCTATGTGCTCTGCCCAAGCAGTTATTTAAAACAAAACCAGCCAGTCATTTGGTAGATGTAAACCTGCTTGTTTCTTCCTGAGGGAGCCTGCGTGCACTCATTTACTTTTTCTGAGGCATCTGCCCGCCTCCACGTGGATTTCTGTCACGCTGACAATGGGCTCACCCTGTGTGTCTGGTCCCAGCTGGTTCCCTCCGCACTCGGGGAGCCCGAGACATGGGGTGGGGGCTTGCTGGAGACACTCCTGGCCCCCCAGCCCAGAATTCCCACAGCATCACATTTTGGGGGAGAGGGGGGCCCTGGGCACAGACTCACTGACCGTTTGATGAAGCTTTGTTCCATAAACAAGTTTCTCCAGCTTGTAGAAATGATGCCTAGATAAACTACCCCAGCCTCCGCCGTCACTGGTGTGGCCGTATTGAGAACGTGCTGTGTGACATGGAAGCCACAGTCCCTCTGGTGGTGCTCTGTGCTGTCAGGTGTCCCCACTCAGCCCTCTGCGTCTTGACCGGCCTCCACCTGCCCCAGTGGATGGCCGAACTGGCCCCACCTCACTTGAGTTTCTCGGCATCTTTCTGGGGAGGTGTGGGGACACCTGCTGCATCTCGGTGTCCACTGTCACTAACACCAGGCTGCCCTTGGTCCTGCTGCATGTCCTCCAGGTTCTCCAGTGGGCGAGAGGACACATCAAATATGGAGTTCTCCACATCCACGGCCTGTACACAGACCCCTGCGGGATGGTGCTGGACCCCTCTGGGTATAAGGATGTGACCCAGGACCCCGAAGTCATGGTACGGCTTACTTGCTGGTCACCCTGGAGATATAGGATGGCCACTGGGCTGCAGTCTGAATGACTCTTGCTTCTGGGCGAACCTGCCCGCCACTTACCCTTTGGACTGCTGCTGGGGACAGGGCCACATCTGTCTTCTTATCTGCCTGGAGGCCCTGGTGTGGTGACTGGATGTGTAGTGTTTGCCAGTAGTGCTGTCATGTCCCGAGGCTCCAGGCTTGACTGGTCCTCCCCAGACTGGGCTGGTCCTCCCGGGGCCAGGCTGGGCTGGTCCTCAGCTCAATCCCAGCCTTGCTGGAGTCTCTGCAGCCCTGGGGCTCCTCCCAGCTCATCTGTGGAAAACGCCTTGAACTTGAACGCACTGACTGCTCACTCACTGGGTTCAGCCTGTTGGCCCCCCTCCTCCTACACTCAGCCGTCTGTTTAATGTCAAATCCCAGGGCTGCTTTGAGGCTTTCTCAGAAGCACCGGTCCTTCCTTGTTCACCTGTGAGGTCAGGGCTCCACCCCTCCTCTGTCCCTCGCTGGCGTCCGTAGGCACCGGGGATGACTGCAGGTGAAGGACCGGACTGAGGAGTGACTGTGACAAGCTCTGTGGGTGACTGTAGTGGTCCCTGGCGCCTGTATCAGCGAGTCCTATGGTTCTCCCAGCCACTCCTCACCCCTGCTGCCCACAGTCCCATCTGTGCGCCTGGGGCTGCTCCCTGATCCCCATCTGTGCTCCCCCAGGCCATTCCTTGACCCCCGTCTGCTTCCTGGGCTGCTGCCTGACTTCCCATCTCTGCTTGCTGTGTGGCCCCTTGACTCCCATCTGTAACAGCCCCCACAACCCCATCTGTACTCCCCAGGCCACTTCCTAACCCTTCTGTGCTCCCTAGGACATTCCCTGACCCTCATCTGTGTTCCCCGGGCCACTTCTGATTCCCTGTCTGTGCTGCTCCAGGGCGGCTACCTGAACCCCCATCTGTACTGCCCCAGGCTGCTCCCTAACTCCCATCTGTAACCCCTCAAACCCCCATCTGTGCTCCCTGGGCCACGCCCTGACCCACCATTTGTGCCCCCTTGGGCCGCTCCCTGACCTGTATCTATGCCCCCCACAACCCCTATCTCTGTTCCCCGGGCCCCTCCCTGACCCCCACGTGTTCTACCCCAGGCCCCTGCCTGACCCCCATCTGTGCTTCCTGGGCTGTTCCCTGACCCACTCTGTGTACCCCAACCCCTACCTGTGCCCCTAGCCTTTCCCTGGCCCCCGTTCTGTGCCCCCAGGCCGTTCCATGATCCCCTCATCTGTGCCCCACCCCGGGCCACTCCCTAACCCTCCATTTACGCGCCCCCTGGCCCCTCTCCATGACCCCTATCTGTGCCTCCTGGCCTGCAGCCTGACTCCCCTCTGTACCCCCTCACAACCCCCATCAGTGTCCTCCCTGACCCCCATTTTGTGCCCCCTCAGGCTGTTCTCTGATCTCCTCATCTGTGCCCCACGCTGGGCTGTTCCCTGACCCCCTATTTGTGCACCCCCGGTCCCTCCCTGGTCCCCATCTGGGCTCCCCCGCGGTCTTGGCTGTGGTGCTGTGGCCATGTCACGCTGACCGGGCCTGTGCCTGCCTCTCCCACAGGAGACCCTGCAGAACCTGTACCGCACCAAGTCCTTCCTGTTCATGGGCTGTGGCGAGACGCTGCGGGACCAGATCTTCCAGGCGCTCTTCCTGTACTCGGTGCCCAACAAGGTGGAGCTGGAGCACTTCATGCTGGTGCTCAAGGAGGACGAGGACCACTTCTTCAAGCACCAGGCGGACATGCTGCTGCACGGCATCAAGGTGGTGTCCTACGGGCACTGCTTTGACCACTTCCCGGGCTACGTGCAGGACCTCACCACCCAGATCTGCAGGCAGAGGAGCCCAGGTATGGCCCAGCCGAGGCCCTGTCCACAGGCCCGCTCACCGCCTCCCGCTTCGCCTCTGGAGGGTGGCTCCGTGTGCGGTAGTGCCCGGGGCCGGGAGCTGATACTTCACCCCACAGCACAGAGCTGAATACAGCTGCCTGCACGCTGGGGGCCTTGACCAGGCCGCGCCAGCACGTGAGCTGTGGGAGAACCTAGAATCCTCTCCTGTCTCCCCACACGCGGAGCCACAGCTCCAGATGCACATGAGGCTATAGAGACCTGGAGTCTCCTTTCTAGTGTCACCTGTTCTTCTGGACACAGCCCTCTTTCGGAGCAGTCCTTCCCTGTCCTCGTGGGGAAGCTCCCGGGCCAGCTGCAGTGGAGACGGTTGAAAAGTCCTTGAACTTGGTCATCTTGAAGAAAGGGCTGTTAGTGGTGTTGTGTTCAGTGTCCTCAAACATTGACGTGACTCCAGGATTGATCGTCATTCTAGCTGTGACCGGAAACTTGGGGCACGCTTGGGGCTGTGTTACCCCTAATGGGCTGTGGCACCAGCTAGAAGCTTCCACGAGCACAGGCCGCTCAGGCCGTGGGTGACGACGGCTCAGTGCTCTCTCCTCAGACTCATGAGAACTCCCTGCAGGCGAGCTGAACAGCTCCTGGCTAGCTGACCCCCGGCAGGCTTTCAGACGGTGGAGATTGTCCTTTCTCCTGCGGGGCTGCTGGTGGATTCGAACCACTGGAAAGCTGCTTACCCAGAGGCAGCACCACACGCTGTGGCTGGGCCCCCAGTGCTCTTGGCCTTCCCCCAGAATTGTTCACGGAGGCAGCACGTTGGGGACAGACGTCTGACCAGGCAGCTCTCTGCGGCCCCAGGAGCAGAGGATGTCGCTGCCTCAGCGGTCGAGGCTGTGCGTGGCCTCGGTGTGACGTGGTTCTGAGGCAGCCCCTTCACCACCAAGTCCACAACAGCGGGTGGTGCGACGAGCCTGACAGGCTCATGCTGCGCCCAGTTAGTGTCCACAATCCGACCCGGGCACCGGCTCCTGGACGGCAGCCTCGTGTAGCCCGAGCGCGAGTCTGCGGACGGGGCCACCCGACCCGCACGTGAGCGCGGCACCCGGAGCCCACCAGGGGCGGCGGGGGGCGGGGTCCAAGTCCTCCTCACCCCCCGTTTTCCTTTCTTCTCAGAGGCTGACCGTGTGGACAGCACCACCTTCCTGGGTAAGGTCCCCTTAGTTTCTGCAGCACCCTCCTCTGCCCACCGTTGCTCGTTATCCACGGGAGTCCCTCTTGAACAAGGGGCCTGAGGTGACCCCTGCAGGTCAGGGGTGAGGGGAGCTAGGCTCGATGGTGACTCTCGTGTACCAGGGGACCAGCCCCGCCCCCATCCGTGTGAGGCCGGGAGCTGGACGCTGCTGGCCCTCGGATTCAGCCGTGAGGCCCTGCCCTTTCCTTCTGTGTCCTCTGCACGCTAGCCTGGAATGAGGCCCCTCCTGTCCTGACCTCACCGTGCTGATGGCACATTCCCACAGTGTCCCAGTCTCCTCAGGGCACCCTGGGCCTGCAGCCCCGTCTCTGCTGCTGTCCACGCCCATGCACGCAGCTCTCCTATCATTGCTGTCCACACCCATGCACGCAGCTCTCCTATCATGAGCGATGCCTTCACCCCTGAGAGGGGTCTGTGGTGCGTGCAGGACAGCAGCGAGCGAGCACCACGGGGACACAGCTTAGAACAGGCCCCGGGCCAGCTGGGTGAGAACAGGCCATGTGCACGGACACGCCCAGGCACGTGGGCTCAGACAGCTGTCCCCTCCAGGGACCGCGTGCCAGGACTGCGCCAAGAGGAAGCGGGAGGAGAACGGAGTGGACGTTTCAAAGAGACCCAGACAGCCGGACACAGGTAAACCTTCCTTCCATGTGCGCGCACGGTCAGGGCCCCCATCACCCAGAGGGTCAGCGACCCCACGGCTCCCCCACTGCAGTGGCCACAGGCGCCCCTGCTCATGGTTTCTGTTTAGTGACCGCTGAAGACCAGGGACGGCCCAGCTGTCGGGCAGCTTGGGGGCTCCCCAGTTGCGAAGTCACCCACTTAACCATATTGGTGGCCTTATGTGTTGGACTGCCAACATGAAGGTCGGCAGTTCAAACCCACCAGCTGCTCCGTGAGAAACGTGTCCATCTGCTGCTGGGAAGGTGACAGCCATGGACCCCCTTGGAGTGGTCCTGCTGTGTCCTCCAAAGGCACTGCTGGGAGTCACAGTGACCCTCCACTGAGAAACAACGTGAGGTGGGGGTGTGGGGGAGATTGGCCAGTCTCAGTCCTGGGGAGCCCTGGCCGCACTGCTGTCTTCAGAGGTGCCTCCCTGCTGTGTGCCTTGGAACTGCTGAGTTGACTTAGGGACTACAGGTGGGGTTCTTGTAACTGTTGCAGAAACATCAGGACCTCCCCTCACACCTGCTTTCCACTCTACCTGTCCCCGAGGTGGACTGTTGGTCTCGGGAGACCCTTCTTTTAAACTCTAGTTTTGTGGCCTCAACCCTGAGCCGGGTGACCTGGCGCACTCACCAGGGCCCCTTCCTCCTCGCGGGCAGTTGTTCACTTTACCTGAGGCCCCAGGCTTCCTCCTCCCCTTCCTTCCCCGGCCCCCGTTTCACTTCCCTAACTCCGGGCCTCTGCCCTCCGCCTCGGAACTGGAGGAGAGAGCTCAGCCGCCTCGGTTAGTGCGGAGAGGTGAGATGCCACTGAGGTGCTGACGTTGGTAAAACAGTGGAGCTCGTGTCTGTGGAACGCACGGAGAGGTTCCTGTCCCCGTGTGGACTCCCCAGGGCAGGTCACGGGCGTGTGTGGCTGGCCTTACGTCCTTGTGTTGCTCTGGTGGCCTGACGGGTGAGCTGTGTCCCGAGTCTGCTCCCGGCTACGGGCGCCCTCCCGCCCATCCTGTCCTCGCCTTCTGTCTAATGGCTGCATCCTGCCCAGTGCCATGGCCTTCCGTGGCCGCTGGAAGCCGTGGCGGTGCTGGCCGCTCGCCGTGTGTGGCACGAGATCTTCCTTCATTGTCCCCCCACCCTGGGCGTGCTCCCCTCTGGTTTTCTTAGTCCTGGGATGATCTCCCGTGACTGTTTCTCCCGTCCAGCTCCTTGGTTTTTCCGACATTCACCCTCACTGGGACCTCTCGCGATGAGTTCTCCGGGCTCTTCCCTTTTCTCTCTTGTCATCTTCTGCCTACCTTACCAGAGAACAGTGACTTGTGGGCCTCATCGGCGTCCCGGCCAGCCCTGGGGAGAGGTCTCATTGTAATGCTTTCCAGTTCCTGAGCCTTCCCAGCGGCCAGCGGCCCATTGCTTCTGTCAGCTCAGGAGCCAGGATTTTGTTCAAGTAGAAAACGGCAGGAAAGGCCTCGGTGGTGGTCAAGCGGGGATCTCGGAGAGTCTGAAGCATTTTCTAAGGGCCTGTTTGCCAAGTGGTGACGTGATTTCTCCGCGGGTCTGTTTGAGCCCTGGTGGTGCAGTGGTTAGATGTGCTTGCCTGCTGCTCAGAAGGAGGCTGGTTTGGACTCCGCCCCTCCAGTGAGAGGAGGCGGTCTGCGTCCAGGAAGGTCACAGCCTTGGGTCCGGTGAGGTGGCCCTGCCGTCCTGGGGGTCACTGAGTCGGAACCACTAGATGGCCCGGAGCTCAGGGGACCCGCACCTTCCCTTTGACAGAGGAGCTGCACCACTGACGTGACAGGGTGTAGATTCAAAGACTCACATAAACAAAGCCGTTAAAACCGGAGTTCACGTCCAGAGTGAGTGGCAGGTGGTGTTGGCAGACCCTCTTTCTTGGGGACCCTCTTTCTGTCGAGGTTTTTGCACAACTCTGAGTGGATGTTTGGGCCGTTACTTCAGCTGGTAGCGACCCTGGATAGAAGCCCTGTGTCCTTGGGTTCTGGAGTGTCTCTTCCCTGGCTGCATCTTCCCCAAGACCCCATACTGTGTCTACCAGTGGTGGCTGTACCCCACTTTTCCCAGGAGTGTTTGTGAGGACAGCCTCTGGGCTGTTTTTGGGGTTCCCTGGTTGGGTCTCCCCCTTGGGTGAGTGGCCCAGATTTTGTCCCTCCAGCCACACCTGCTGGTCTGAGGACAGACTTCGGGCTGTTGGGAACCTCGCCTGCACGGTGTGAACCCCACTCCCTAGAGAATGGACTGGCGAGTGTCCATAATGGACTTTGACCTTTTGTACACAGTGGCTCTGGTTCATTGTGGAGTGGATTTCCAAGTCTCTAGTGCACAGCCAAACCCCAAACTACCCAACTTGCAGCAGACAACCTGAAGGCTGGCTGGTGGCTTTGAACCATCGACCTGTCAGTTCACACTCAAGTGCTTAATCACTGTGCCACCAGGGCAGCCCCTCTCCCCAGGCGGCTTCTGACGCGGAATCTTGCTGCTGATACTCTGTTAGCTGAAGCCTGATGTTTGGTATTTCTTCTTTCTGTTTAACAGATGATGCTGGAGGATCTTGAAATCTTTAAAACCAATAAAATCTGCAACTTGAAAACCAGCCTTCTGTAACCACAGTGCAGCAGACAAGGAGGAATGGCCAGGCCATGTGCATGGACCTGGTTCTGGACTGGCACCCGCCCAGGGCGTGCGAGGCTGGGCGGGGCCCCCAGACGTCATGGAGGTGCGCACACGCGGCTCGGGGCCCCTTAGCATGCTGTCCTCCTGTCTGGGTGGCTTTTCCAACACGGGAGGGTGGAGGCCGGCCCAGCAACAGTGGTTGCCGAAGAGCAAGAACCAGAGACTGACATTTGCTCATTTTCACGTGGAAACATCTGTTACAGTAGGAAAAATTAAAGGTATGTTGTTGCAATGTTGAAAAGCAAAGGATGAGTGGCTACCCCAGCCGGGTGGCTGGACAGTGGTTCTGAAAAAGCCACTCCATGATACATAACAGGGCACCTTGTGGTCACGCCCATCCCAAAGGACAGTAGGTCCACTGTCCCTGAGCACTGCGGGGGCTCACGTGCGGCGGGGCAGCACCACGTTTCCCACACACAGCTCGTGTTAACGGAAAGCTGCTGGGGTCCTTGTCAGGCACAGGCCAGCCCTCTGCTCCGGGGTCAGCTCAGGTGGGTGAGTTTGTGTCCTGTGACCTCACAGGCTCGAGGCACAGGTGCCTGTCACAGCCCCAGTGACTGTCAGGGGTGATGAAGTGACCACTTGCTGGTGGCCCTGAGTGGGGGCGGGGGCCGTGTGGGACGAGATGAGCAGAGACCCACTGGGGCCATTTCCTGTTTCTCTGACGCCTGGAGAACAGCTGTCCCTGGACCCTGAATAAAGCGTTCCCTGTGACCTGTGTGCTCACGTCTCTCGGGCAGGAGGGCCTGGTATGACCTGCTCCAGGACGCGCGGCTGCAGTCACTGCCCCGCTGGGGGCCGTTTCAGTCGTCGGCCAAGTGCAGCCGGGGTGCTGGGCTCTCGGCTGCGCAGGGGGCTCTGAGGTCCCCTTGAGGACCGGCCCGCACGGCGCTGGCTCTGCGGTGCTGTCCTGTGCCACTGCTGGATTCGGAGACAGTGAGTGGACACACGTGTGTGCTTGGTTTCTTACGTGGAAGAGGCCGTCGGAGCCCACGGTGCTGGCCTTGTTGATCATGCTGCGAGGTCTTTAATGTTCCAGTATGCTCACTGGTCACTGTCTGGGCCCCTTAGCATGGCAGGTGTGACCCCACTAAGTGGATGTGAGAGCCCCACTTGTGCCGGCAGAGCCCGCCCTCCCCGGTGGCCCCGCATTGCCCTCGGCCACTGCCAGCAAGCTTTGTCAAGAGCAAGTGCCTGTGACGGGAGTCTGGCCCACTCGGGGGTGAGGTGGGGGTGTGTGTGTCTGTCTGTCTGTCTCACAGTGTACGTGCGCTGTCTTACTCGGTCCCATGAGCTCTGGGGTCCTGGATGTCATCAGAGCTGCGCGCGCACGTGTGTGTGTGTGTGTGTGTGTGTGTGTGTGTGTTTGCGTGATGTCTTTCTCTGTCCCGTGAGCTCTGCGGTCCTGGATGTCATCATCAGAGCTGATGTGCGTGCGTGCGTGTGTGCAGTGCTGTCTGGTTTGGTCCCATGCGCTCTGCAGTCCCGGGTGTCTTCATCAGAGCTGCGTGTGCCCGTGTGCGTGTGTGCGCGTGTGCACGCGTGCTGTCTCACTCTGTCCCATGCACTCTGCAATCTCGGGTGGCATCATCAGAGCTGCCCGCCTTGACAGCTTGCTGGCCCTCGGGGTTCAGGGGGTCCAGGGCGTCTCAGCGTTAGAGCCGGCAGGACTGCATGGAGTTCCTCCTGGTTCCCTCCTGGCTGACAGAGAGGCTGCTCATCTGTAAAGTGGATGAACTGGTCCAACCCCTGGACAGGAGAACGGACGGTCCACGCTCTGCAGGACGTGCACGCTCCTTCAGAAACGGGCTGCGTGCGCCTTGACAGCATCCGCGTCTTTGAAATGGAGGCAGCGTGGACCCCACACCATTGTGTGTCACCTGGGGCAGTCCAGGCTCCTGAGAGGCTCCCCACATCCCAGTCCCCTGCTCCAAGGCTCTGGGCCGCCCTAGTACTCAGGTCTGACAAGTTCAGCCTGCCCCCCACCCCCAGCGAGCAGCCTCTTACTCGAGTTGTCTGGTCCTGCCGTGAAGTGGAACAAGGGCTGTGTCTTTCCTGCCCCTCACGCTTTTTAACGGAGGGGTCATCTTGAGAAAGCCTAGAGGTTTTTAAAATTACTTCTTAAAAGAAATTAAGAAGATTGGGATTTTACTGGAGGAGATATTTTTTGGTTTTCAAATTTGTAACGTTTGAAATGATTTTCTTTTCAATGACGTAAGTTTGTTTGAGACCATTTCCCACAGAGGAACGTGCTTACCGTCCTGGCTTTTAATAACTGAGCAGTAAGGTCCCACGAGGGGCACTTAAACCTGACGTGGGAGTGGCCACAACTGGCAGGTGAAGACGCTGCAGAAACCGCAGTTGTCCTGATCAGACTGTCACAAGGGGACTAGTTATGGTACAAACTTGCTTTTCTCTTAAACTCTTTCCACTGTGACAGACATACCCGGAGGGTGGTTTAAACACAGTGGCCCTGGGGCGCCCGGCTGCTGTGGGCTCAGAAGTCGGCTCTGAGCCCTCACAGTGACAGATCCCCAGGCCCCTAACGGGCCTGTTGGTGCTTCTTCCCGTTTTCTTGCCCGTTGGGCTGGATACGGAGAGATCCAGGGAGAGGGCTCTGCTGAGTTCAGTCCTCGGGCTGCAGGGAAGACACGGCAAGCGTCGGTGCCCAGCGGAAGGCCTCCAGGGTTGCATGTGTTTAAGGAGGAGCTGGTCTGTACCCCCTTCTGCGAGTACTTGGCTCTCTGCATTTACAGAAGCTGTTTTGTTTTATCCCGCATGTTTTTTATCTTTTGGGACCATCACGTCAGCTAGGACTCAGCGATCTCAGGAGCAGCAGATAGCCTGCCCGATCCTGTGTCTGACTTAACTCAGCCCTCTGTTCTTATCCGGGGTTCTTCGGCCAAGTATCTCTGTCCCAGCCATTCTGCAGGCACAGAGGAAGGGGGAAGCGGGAGCTGTAGGGGCGGTGGCACCTCTCTGGGGGTCTGAATCCACCAGCAGCTTCGAGGGAGAAAGATGGGCAGGTCCTATGTGACTGACACCACTGGGGGACCAGCTGCAGGAGGGGAAGTGAACTGTCACCTGTACTTAAAGGCACGGGAAGGCTAGTCACTACTCCTGAGGTTAAAGGAACATCCAAGAAGTAAAGTCTAACTCTAAAAACGAAAGGATCAGCTAGAAGCACTTTCCTCCTTTCGCTCAGGGTAGGAACCATGGGTTCAAATTCCAGAAGCTGCCGGAGAACTTGGATCTGTCCTGATGCCTCTGGAAGAGAACTCGTCCCTTGGTGGTTCCTGCTCTGTTGTAACGCCCACAGGCCCACAGGCCACAGCGGGAAGTACAGCGCTGAGCGCCCACCCCACGCACGCACGCACGCTAACCCACAGTGTTTCCCAACAGAGCTGCTTACTGCATTTAAAACACATCTGGAAGTTCTGTACTGTGGTTACTTTGAAATCTTATTTGATTAAAATTTATGTCTGCCTCAAGTTTAAAAAAATCAAACCGTATCTACAAACACTGCTGGGAACCATTCCCTCACTGTATTTTGGTAAACATGTAACACACATGCTTGCCATTCAGCCACTGCTAGGGTGCCCTTCAGTGACCTTTGCTCGGCACCGCCCCCCAGCCCCCTTCACGTGAACTTTTCATTTACCTCTGGGTAGATGCCAGTCAAGGCAGCGGATTTTGACTAGAACTCCTCCTTGAGAGACATGATTTATCATCTGCACCTGCTCGAGTCTGTTCTTTGGTGTAACTTGATAGCTGGGGAGACACCTAGGAGTGTTGCTGGTAGGGTTAGGGGCTCCTCTAGCCCCCCAGCACATCCACGACGACTGCAGAAATCCCGAGACAGAAGGCAAACGAAGTAGAAACCGCCGAGAGGAAAGTGTGCATGACAACATACACCACATCGCATCTGTACACTCTACACAGTGGCTCCTAGTCCAACACTGGAGTCAATTCAGTCTCCGGGAAACGGGAATGTAGGTGCTTTTAGCGCAGAAGTTGGTCAGGAGTGCCCAGAGGTGCCACCAGTGCAGGTGTCGGCACCTGAGGAGCCACTAAACCCATCACTGTCACCTTGGTCCAGACTCGGACCTGGGACGGTAGGATTTTCAAGGCTGCAGTCTTCACAGTAGCTGTCTTGGTCTTACTTCCAAGAACCAGCTGGTGGTTCTAAACGGCTAACCTTAGTTAGCAGCTGGCCACTTGAACAGCTGGGCTGTATGGAGACCTTAATGAAGTGAGGGAGGCCTTTCCCAGAATACGGGGTGGGTGGTGTCAGATAAACACACCAAGTGGTAGAGGTCCGCCATTCTTAGATCCAAGCGAGCTTGCCCTCAGTGGAAGAGGACCAAGATCTCTACGACGCTGCCCTCTCTCCAAGCCACCAGAGGCTCTGTGACGGGTCTGGGCTGGCCAGTCCTTTGTAAGGAGGGGACTTGTTTTCTAGGTTTTGTGAGTACAGTTGCATGTTTAAAAAGCAGGAGGTATCAGAGATGTCTGTTAACACAGCCTGGGAAATCCTGCCACCTTCCAACGTGGTCCAGGCTGCGGCTACTGCAAGCCCCCAACTCGTTTCAATGACTCCGCAGAAAAGAAACACAAGAAGAGGTAGGCATCAGAGACCGAGGCCAGCAGCCCAGGAGCGAGGGGCCCTTTCACAGGACGTAGGAACCGAGCTGACAGAGTAGGGTGCAGACAAGACTGATTTGAAATTGGGGATAGGATGGTGAGGGATTGTGGAGTTTCATTTTGTTCTCTTTGGGGTCACTATGAACACTTCATTGTGCTCGCGTGAAACTTCTACCTAGACCAACACGCTGGAGCATGAACTGGGCTAGGGAACACTCATGATTTAAAACAGGAGAGGTGTGTGTCAGGGCTGTAATGTTTGTCCATACCTACTTAATCTATATGCTGAGCAAATTATTTGAGAAGCTGGACTCTGTCAAGAAGAATGCGGCATCCCACAACCTTGCTTGCTGAAATGGAAAAGGACTTGAAGCAATTACTACAGAAGGTTAAACACTGCAGCCTGCATTATAGATTAAATCTCAACCTCAAGAAAACAAAATGCTCACCACTGGACCGATAGGCAACATCAAGATAAACGGAGAAATAATTGAAACTGTCAACTTCATCTTATTTGGATCCACAATCAATAACTTACTACCAGCAGTCAGAGGACGTACTGCCCTGGGAAACACTCCTGTCAGGGATCTTTCCAAAGTCCCGAGAAGCAACAATGTCAGTTTAAAGAGTAAAGTGTGCCTTATTTAAGCTATAGTTTTTCCAATCATATGCAACTAAGAGCTGGACAGTGAATAAGGATGACAGAAGAATTGATGCCTTTGAGCTGTGGTGCTGGAGGAGTACTGAACATCCCATAGACGGCCAAAATAAAAAGCAGATGTGTCTTGGAAAAGGGGCATCCACGATGTTCCCTGGAGACAAGAATGATAAATGAAGCTTTGTCTCATATACCTGGGGGTGTTGCTAGGAGAAGCTATTCCCTGGAGAGGGACATCCTGCTTGGGGAGGTGGAGGGTTGATGATGAAGAAGAAGATGTCTTACAAGATGGATTGACATGGTGATTATAGCAGTGGTCTCAGGTGTGTCTTAGATCTTGAGGATGGCACAGGACAGGACAGAGTTCAGATCTGTTGTTCACAGGGTCCCAGGCGTCCTACTCAACTCCAACAATAAACACTGTTCATCAAAGACTAGTGAGATGACAGCATGAAGCGAGCAAAACGTCATTACAAAAACAGAAAAGACCAAAATGGATGTCAGGAGAGACCCTCAAAACTAGAGCCTCGAGAAGTCAAAACAAAGGAACCTGATGCCAAAGTAAGAGATGAACAGGGGATTTCAGATGGCAACTGGAGAAGGTAAAGTGTAATGGAACGTACAAAGAGCTGGAGTCTGAATAAAAAGGGAAGAACTCGCTCAGCATTTCTCAAACTGAAAGAATGGAAAACAAATTCAAGCCTAGGGCTGCAATACTGAGATGCTATGGGCACCATCTTGAATGATCCTGGAAGCATGAGAAGTATGAATTACAAAGTCACTGTACCACAGAGAATGGCTGACAAATAGTTGAGGAAATAGCAAATGATAAAGAGCCCGTGTTGATAATGGTTCAAGCTGTATTGTAGGCACTGGCAAAAAATAAGGCGCCAGAAATCCATGGGATTCTGGCACATTTCAACCAAGTCCAGGCCTGGAGATGCCCAACCGTCTATGCCTGGAAACTGACAGACTACCGCCATCTGGACAGAGGACTAGGAGAGATCTCTGTTTCCATCTCCAAGAAAGGTAATCCAACAGTATGTGGAAATTGTTGAGCAGTGTCATTATTATCCCATGCAAGCAGAATATTGCTGAAAAATCACCCCAAAATGACTAGAACAGTTCATTGACAGAGAACTGCCAGAAGTTCAAGCTGGGTTTAGAAAAGGCTGTGGAACCAGGGATATCATTGCTGATGTTAGATCATGGCTGAAAGTAGACAACAACAAAAGAGTTGTTGACTGTGCAAAGGCATTTGACTGTGTGGATCCTAACAAATTACGGTTAACACTGAAAAGAATGGGAATCCCAGAACACTTGACCGTGCTCATATGAAACCTACACTTAAAGCCAGAAGCTATTGTCCAGAGCAAGGGAACACTACATGTTTTAAAATCAAGAAAAGGGTGCATCAGGGTGGTATCCTCCCCCCCCCCAATAGCTATTCAATCTGTATACTGAGATCATTAGAGAAGCTGGACTTGATGAAAATAAAAATGTTTCATGAAAAAGAATGTGGTCTCAAGACTAGAGGAAAACTCATCAATAACCTGTTAAGCTGGTGACACAACCTTACCTTCCGTATTGATTACATCTCAGCGTTAGGAAAATGATCTTCACCACTGGACGAATCTGCATAATCACAATAGATGGGAAGACAGACTAAAGTTGTCAAATCATTTGCTCTTGCTTGGATCTTGAATTAACACCCTTGGTACTAACAAACAGGAGATAGAGAGATATATTGCATTGGCAGAGTCTGTTGCCAGGTACCTCTCCAAAGCCCCAAAGAGCAATGATACAGACTTAAAGACTAAGGTGCCAGCAATTCCACTACTGGGAATATATATACCCTGAAGAAACCAGAACTGCCACCCAAACAGATATATGCACACCCATGTTTATTGCTGCATTGTTCTTCACAATAGCAAAGAGATGGAACCAACCTGATTTCCCATCAACAAATGAATGAATAGAGAAACTGTGGTTTATTCACCTGATGGAATACTATGCAGCACTGAAAAAAACCTCATAAAATATACAAAATAGATGACACTGGAGGACATCATGCTGAGTGAAATATCAGTCTCAAAAGGATAAATACTGTATAATGCCACTAATAAAACAGGACTGACATGGGGATTAGGGGACTAAGAAAAGAGGGGATAAATAATGAACATTTCATTTAAATCCATGAGGGAAAGAGCTATCTAAAAGAAATATATGATCAGGTATTATTTGCATGACAACAGCCCAGAATAAGAGGTGCACAGCGAAGTGCCCTGGGGGGTGGAAGGGAGGGAGGAAATTGTGCAACGATGAAAGAGTCCTTTTTAAACAGAAAAGTGAACTGTGGGGGTGGGGATTAGGGAGGAAAATGTGCAACAGTGAATGAATGGAAATTAAGGTTTTTGTAAACTTTCATTAAAATATCAATTAAAACCCCCAAAACAACAGAAGGAAAAAAGACTAAGGTGCAGGGAGCTCTGGTGGCCTAGTGGCAAGAAGCTGCACTGCAATCCCAGAGGTATGTGGTTCAAATCCACCAGATGCTTTACTGAAGAAGGAGGAATAATCTCTTCCTGTACCAGTCTGATCCAATTTGACGGTACACCCACAAAATAATAATAATTTTTAAAAACTTAAAAAAAAAGACTAAGGTGTGCTTGATTCAAACCACAATTTTTCCAGTCATCTGCTATGCCTCTGAGAGCTGGATAATGAATAAGGAGAGTTATCAGTGATGCCTTTGAGCTGTGGTTTGGAGAAGAGCACCGGATATCCATGGACGGCCAAAAGAACAGATAGATGTGTCTTGGAGAAAGTGCAGCCAGAATGCTTGGAGGCAAAGGTGCCAATGCACATACTCTCAACATACTCTGGGCACGCTGCTAGGAGAGGCTGTTCCTCAGAGTGGTACATCTTCCCAGCGTGGAAAGGTCAGTGAAATAGACGAAGACCCTTGATGAGGTGGACTGACACAGGACAGGACAGGGTGCAAGTCAGTAATGGGTCGTCCTCCACTCAGTGGCATCTGGCAGCAGCAGCGGGTCAGACCTGATGGGCCTGCTGCCAACAGTGAGAACCCTCGGTCGGCACTGCCACCTGAGCCTTCCCAAGCAGAGTGTTACTGCAGGACGACAACGGTCCTGGCACCCTTTTTGGCAGGAGCGTCAATTCAGATAGACGGCTGGCTGGGCGGTGAGCTGGCCAAGACCCTGGTGAGTTGCAGCTGGAGCTCTCTGGTGGGCAGTGGGGGGTACAGCCAGCAGAGCCGCTACCTGTAAGTTCAGTGTCAAATACAAGTCTAGATGGGGTTCTTTCCTGAGATGCCTCCTTGTCCTTCACACAGGAAACAGGGTCAGGCACAATTACAGAGACTGACTAGGTAGACTTTAGAACAAAACTTGGTTTCGAGGGAGGGAAGAACATGAACTGTAAATCTTGGTAACTGTGGTGAGATGCTACTTTTGGTTTGTATTAAACACCTAATTTGATGAGGTCCTAAGCCTGTGCCTCAGGCCTGCTGTTAGGGGCCTTCTGGTGACGTCTGGATGCAAGAGCACCAGTGGTGGACGCAGAGGCAGCCCCTCCAGCCCTCGCAGCTCACCCCGCTAGGACCTCTGCACATTAGCCCTTTTTGAGGCTTACATTGGGTTTAAAAAACATTTACTTTAGTCAATTCTCATTGCCTTCCTCCAAATCCTGTTTGCTCAGCATACACCATCACCTGACTCACAGTGAACCTTGAACTCTTATCTCTGCTGGTCAGAGTCAAAAGCAGCAAGAAACTTCCTTTGCCAATGTTAGTATTGCCCAGGGCTGCGTCCACTTCATCCAAGACAAAGAATGGAGCTGGCCGGAAGCAGGGAAAAGACAGTCCTATCAGTCATGTGTACAAGCGGCTTGGCAGGGGGCCTGCAGCATCCTGAGGGAAAGGAGACCGCTCCCTCCTGGGCCTTCGGACTGGCCACAAGTGACCTCGGTGTGCCAGACCAATCACTCCACCTCCTGCCCCAGACTGGGCCCCAGGAGGCAGCACTGAGGGGCAGCACCCTCCTCTCCGCATCCACTGCTCCACCCAGGCCTCTTCATCTAGAAGGTTCTCAGCCCACAGAGCCCCCACTCTCTTCTGTTCCAGGTCCTTGGAGCACATGGGCTCCAGAGCCACATCTCTGCTGCCTGCAGCTCCTCTAAACTCTGTTCTGTTTTTTTTTGTTTAATTTAAATTTACTATTTCAGTAAAAATTTACAGAAACTGGATTTCCATTCATTCATTGTTGCACTTTTCTCCCCTCCCAACCCTCCCCCCTAGTAAACTACCCTCTTGGAAAAGTAAAAGACACATTCTTTCATTGTTTTACAAACCTTCCCCCAGGTCTACTCCACTATGCAGCCTTTGCTTTGGACTCCTGTCATGACAAAAATGCCTAATCCTATATCCCTTTTAAACAGTTTTCTCCCTCATCTGTTTCAATGCAGTATACATTATTGAACCCATCTTTCTCAATCTCTCCCCAACCCCGAGGTCAGTCCTATTTTACAACAGAGGCACCATGCAGTATTTGTCCTTTTGTGACAGAGATATTTCACTCCGCATAATGTCCTCCAGGATCACCCATTTTTAATAATATTGCATGAGTTCCTTGTTTTTCAATGCAGCGTCGTATTCCATTGTGTGAATATACTACAGCTTCTCTATCCATTCGTTTGTTGATGGGCACTTAGGTTGTTTCCAACTCCTTGCTATTGTGAGCAAAGCTGCAATAAACATGGGTGTGCATATATCTGCATGGATGTCAGTTATGGTCTCTTTGGGTTATATTCCCAGTAGTGGAATTGCTGGGTCAAATGGTATCTCTATACTATGCAACTTTTTGAGAAAGCACCATACCGCTTTCCACAGTGGCTGCATTATTGACTCTGTTCTTCCCTGTGCCCCCCTCGTCCCCTTGTAGCTCCAGCATGCTAAGCCGGGAGCAGGCCTCCTGTGTGATCAAGCATCCATGGCTCGTGACCTCACCTGTGCTCAGTGAACAGGAGGGCCCATGCGGCTGCCCACTTCTCTCCCTGACAGACTGTCACTGGCATCAACCGTTTGCCTGGCATCACACAGTTGTAGCTAATCCCCTCCAAATAAGGTGCCTTGGGGTTCTCTGGGCTCAGAAGTGTCTGAAACACATTTATTCAGTGACATCAGAAAAGCGAGCATGACTCTCAACTGTGACAGATTTTAACCAGATGCTCCAGGTTGACAGTGTTGAGGAAACGGGACAGTGCTCGTAAACACTGAATTAAACGTGTCTCAGTTCCATGGATTGGGGAGGAGGGAGAACATTCTGCTGTACCCAAGCCTTCTTATCGGACTGCCTGTCATGTCAGTGTCACAGGCACACATCACTTGCCCTAAGTGGAGCCCCGGTCACCTCACTCACTGGTCCACCCGTGGAACTCTTGCACGAAGCTGACTCTGGGGCAGAGGTGCGCCCTGCCCTCCTTTATGTCAATCTTACAGAAAGAACACAGTTCTTTTCAGTTGAATTGTGCCCCTCGGTCACACAGGAAGAAGGTGAGGAGAGCGTGCATGATCTCTGCTGTCCTGTGTCCACATTCACTCCCAGGAGCACTGAATGGGTGCTGATGGTGGCAGGGGAGCCTGGCCAGAGCAGAAGCCCTCACTGAGCCACAAAGCTGAACCTCAAGTCTGCTATTTGCCCAGCATCCTCTACCTCACCCTACTTGTACCATATGGAGTTAATAAAGCATTTGAGAAAAATCAAAGTAGGATCAAAGCACAGAAGTTTAGAACTGAAGAAAACTTGACATGATCTGGCCCAGTCATTTTCCAGATGAAATCTGCTTAGAGGCAACTGGCTGGTGATTGAGTGGAGGGGGTGTGAGGGGTGTGAGGACGGGTGGGGAGGTGGGTCTAGAGCCCAGACCTTCATTCCTCTTCCGAAGGAACCAGCTCTGCCTTCAGGCAAGTCCCCCAGAGGTCTGTGAGTATAAATGGCCACCAGCAAGGACTCAGCACTCCTCCCCTGCTCGCCTGGGATCTGAGGTGGAAACACCTGCTTGAGCTCTGGCGTTTCAGCAGAGCTGCTTGTAGGTTTGATCAACTGAGATCAAGACGTGCTCTGAACACTGGCTGAGAAAGTCCCATCGCCTCCTCTTCACCTGTTCAAACTCTTGCCTAAATGTTCTGGCTTCCTTTCTGCTGGCCTCAAAACCTGTGAGAGGAAGCAATGTTCTCACTTTATTCTGAAAATCATTGGGAGGCTTCTCTTATTTAAATTTTAAAGCATAAAATATTTTTAAAGTTGGCTTTTCAGTTTGGTTGTCTTGGTTACATCTATCATCAAGATACTGCAACTATTATTCATTTCAAAATCAGTGATTTCAAATGATGAGCCCTTTTCAGAGTCAACATCCAAATAATATTCCATGTCTATTACTCTGTTTTGGAAAAGTATGAGTATTTTCCAAGATAACTAGTACATCTGGTTTTTTTGTTGTTATTGTTGTTTCCCCGCCGCCATCTCTTCAGTAAGTTACTTTGAAGCCAGAATCAGCACATCTGTTTTTAAATGAGAGCCAGATATTTTCAAAAAGAAGCAATTAACGACTTAAAAAGCAAAGCAGAGACACATTGAGGGCTGGGGAAAGAGCCAGAAGTGAAACATGCTGAACACCGTGACTGAGGCCTTGCCAACAGAACAGCGAAGGCTGCCTTCACCGTCGGTGGACTCCTGAAACCTGTCTCCGATAGGCTTCGAGGTCTCCAGAGCTCGCAGGCTGGGGGCAGCCGTCTTCAGTGAGACGTCCTCCTGAGCTTCTCCTTGTTGCAGGAGGACGTTGAGCTGGGCGTCAACTTTATCCAACTGCAGAGACATGGAGGGAAAAACGATGACCTGTGTGTCCTGTGACCTCCAACTGCTGGCACAGGTGCCCCCTAGTCCGTTGTCCCCGACCCCTGCTACAGGCCGCACCTGAGGAGCCCAGTGCTGTCCACGCTGCTCTCTAGGAACCTACTACCTTCAGATGCTCCTTCAGTCAACAACCCCGCTCCCCTGCTATGTACCAGACCGCAGGGGCGGAGGATGGGAGGATGGAGTCCCTGTCCTGAGCGAGCACGTCGCCCGGTGAGCGGGGCTACCATGAGTGAGGAGGGAAGGGAGCACCTGCTTGCCCTCCGAGTGGGTCACCTTCGGGAGGACTACCTCGCCTCCCACATTTGCTGACTAACCACGCTCCCCCTGCCTCACTCAGGAATTTCAGCATCAGTAGGTCAATTTACAGCTTTAGTTTGCTTGGTTCCACAGTCAACACTCTTGGCACCAGTAGCCAGGAAATTAAAAGGCGCATTGCCATGGGAAAGTCTGCTGTTAGGGACCTCTCCAAAGTACTGAAGAGCAATGGTGTCTCTCTGGAGACTAAGGTGCTTCTGATACAGGCCATGGTCTTCGCAATCACTTGTTATGCGTCAGAGAGCTGGACAATGACCAAGGAGGATAGAAGGAGAATCGATGCCTTTGAGCTGTGGTGCTGGAGAAGAGTATTGAGAATACCATGGACTGCTAGGAAAACAAACAGATTCATCCTGGAAAGGGTTAAACCGGGTGGCTCCTTGGAGGCAAGGATTCTGAGGCTCCGTCTAACATACTTTGGACATGTTGTGAGGAGAGACTGGTCCTTGGAGAGGGACATCATGCTTGGGAGGGTGGAGGGACAGCGCAGGAGAGGAAGGCCCTCTATGAGGTGGATTGATTCAGTGACTGGGATAATTGGGATGGGAGTGTCGGAGACAGTGTAATTGGCACAGGACAGAGCAGAGTTTTGGGCTGTTGTAGGTAGGGTTGCTATGAGTCGCAAGGAACTCGATGGCACATAACAACAACAACAGGTCAATTTACAGCCTATTGTGAAGAATTAGCAAAGTGCATTTCTAAAACTACCTGGAGAGGGAGGCGATGTTGGTAAACATGTAAAAGACGTGTATTGTTTGTAAGAAACTGTAGCAACAGGAAGAGTGGGTAGGTACTGAACACTGCACCGGAACAGGTGAGGGGAAGAATGGACTGAGAGGAACACCTGACTGGGTAGGTATTCCAGGAATGGCAGCAGTCTGGAACAAGAGGTGTGTTGCAAAGTGGATGGGGTGGGGTGGGGGGGTGGGAGGAAGAGAAGAAAATGCACAGCAATGAATGAATTTTAAAAAATCCTATAGCAACTCCTAAAGATGACATTTGACTTCACTGGGAACAGGATGATTTAACTAAATGTTAATGGGTTAGCTGGATAACTCGGACAGCTCTTTAATAAAAAGGATCCTTGCCATACACCAAAATCAATCTCAGATGAATTAAAGTGGTAAACAGAAAAAAAAAATCATTAAAGAGCAGGAGACAAACATGACTAAATGTCTACCTGGTGATGACGTAGGACGAAGTATGAAAGCCAAGAGAAATCACCAAGCAAAAGATTACAGAGAAGCCAATAAATAAGACATGCTTTCACCTAGAAATCATTAATAAAACAGGAAAGCCAGAAAGGCAGATAAATATATAAATTAAAAAGCTGCTTTCTGATGCCAAGAGCAACTACAAACACAGCCAAAGAGCCTGACAAGCTGAGGAAAATATATCAAAACCAGAAATGATCGGATGGGGTACAGACAGCCCCCCAGCACTCAGGCACCATTTCTTCCTAACACTCACATCCCTTGTGCCCTGTGGGTGGTCTGCTGGGTCGGAGGCCAAGTCTACCTCCTCTGTGTACGAGGGCTCAGGAGTGGACAGGAAACGCAGTTTGAGCCATTAAGAAGCTGTTGGTAGGTGCCTTCAGGTGAATTCCAATCACAGCGGCCCTGTGAACAACAGATCTGAGTTCTCTGCGGTCCCCATCATCTCTGACACACTTGAGTCCATTGCTGCAGCCACTGTGTCAATCCAACTGGTTGAGGGTCCTCCTCTCTTTCGTGGACCCTCCACCTTTCCAAGCATGATGCCCCTTTCTAAGGAATAGCTTCTCCTAACCCATGTGCCCCAAAGTATGGGAGACAAACCTTTGTCCCCAAGGAGCACTCTGGTTGCACCCTCTCCAAGATCTGTTTGTCCTATTGGCAGTCCACTGGGTATTCTGTACTCTCTCCAACACCACAGCTCGAAGACATCAATCCTTCTGTCATCCTTATTCACTATCTAGTCTCAAATGCACAGCAAGTGACTGAAAAGACCATGGCCTGAACGAGGCTTGCTTAGTATTCAAACAGGCATCACTGCTCCTCAGTAATTTGGAGAGGCCTCTGACAGCAGACTTTCCGAGTGTAGTGTATCTCGTGATCTCCTGACTGCTGTTACCAAGGATCTTGATTGTGGATCCAAGCAAGATGCAATCTTTGACAATTTTAATCATTTCTCCCTCTTAACATGATGCTGCAGGGACCAGCTCTAGGCAAAGGCTCGCTCTCACTGGATGTGGGAGCAGGTTTGTGCTTCTTTTAACATCTGTGGAGACGTCCTTGTGTCCTGGCATCGACCTTACCCCGTCCCTTCGCTGCTGACTTGGGCAATTTCTTGCATATGTCAAAAGAGAGGGACTGGAGACACTGAATCAAATCTGCCTTATTAGCCTAAGACAGACAGCCCATTCCCGAATGGGACAGGCAGAGAGGCCAGGATGGACAAGAGTATCTGATGGGACAGAATTCAATCAATACTAGAAACAAATATACAGAAACACATACGACTAGGGGGCGTGAATGCCTGACCACGGCCGGGGCTGCCTGTGTCTGGCGGGGGAGGCTCCATCACTCCTGGGCCTTTAGGAAGAAGCCCTCTGCCCCTAAGACCATGTTCTGGGGACCAGTCAGCCAGAGAGTACTGGCGACTTGTGTTTGCTGCAGGATTTGTCAGTGTGAAATCTCAGAAAGGGAAGAGATTTCCAACATGAGCTGTCCAGAGAAACTCTTGGTTCTCAGTCAAGATATTTCATTCCATTAGTGTTCCACAGCGTGCGCTCCCGTGGTCTAGTGGTAAGGAGTTGGCCTGCCAACCTAAAGACAAGTGGTTCAAGTCCACCAGCTGCTCCATTGGAGAAAGATGGGAAATCTCCTTCCATGCAATTTATGGCCTCTGAAAACCCACCGGAGGGTCAGCGATGAGTCGGTTACCACTTCTCAGCAATACACGTGAGTGAGCTTGTGTAGAACACGCAGTGATAAACACAAACAGAAGCGATCTACTGCTATTTCTCCAAAACCATTAGGAAATCGACTTGAAAAAGAAAAATCTCAAAAAAAAAAAAAAAGAAAAAGAAAAATCTCCACTGCCATACGGCATAAACATTTTGGGGCAGGATTTCTACGTGCGGCACGATGTGAGTTGGTCATAAGCAGTGTTTCCTGTACCTTCAAGTCCTCCCCAGGGAGCTGTAGTCCACTTCAAGAGCTGCTTCTTTTTTTTCACATATGTCAGGGGTGACTTGGGTCTGTTCTTCTTCTGTTCCCAACTGAAAGATAAGAAAATCCCTTTCCTTGGACATGCACATCTGAATCCTCCCTGGGTTCCCTCTCCTCCAGTTGCTGGCCACTCACTCAGGCCACAGTGAGGGTCCTCGCAGTGGCCATGGAAGCCAGGATATGTGCCCAGAAGCCTGGTCCCTTCACCTTCCCACCCTCACTGTGCACTGGCTTCCTCAGTCTCTCTGCTCAGGTCACCGGGGCCGCTTGGACACAGAGGGCTCATGGCCACAGCTGGGCTGGCCCCCTGCCTGCAGCTCACCCCTCTTCTCACCCTGGCCAGCCCTGGCCTCTGTCCGAGCCTGCACACGTCCTCCCCAGCTCCAGGGCATCAGAGGGCTTCCTCACTCACGCATTTCACTGTTTATCATAGTGCTGCCCACCTGCCTCACCTCCACCTGGATGTGGGAAAGGGGTTTTGTATAAGGTTGTACTCGCTGCTGTATTCTCAGTGCCTAAATGCCGGGCCGTAAGGCAGACCTCAGACATACAGTGGGTTTAGTTCCAGACCACAGCAAGGCAAATACCAAAACAAAGGGGCTCTGGGGGCCCAGACTGTGTGGAGCTGTGCTGCTTCCCTACAGCCAGGCTGCTGTGGCGGTGGGAACCCACCAGCGGCTCTGCCGGAGGAAGAGGCAGTGTCCCCCGCACTGTCTACACCCCAGCAAACCAGGGAAGGAGTCAGGAGTTGATTCTCACTTGACTTTTGCGTTTGGTTTTTCATTAAAAACAGGAAGAGGGAAAAAAAAGCATGCCTCACGAGGTTTTGGTTTCCCGGTGTATACTGAGCATGACGTCCTTCTCCCAGGAATAGCCTCTCCTAGCAACAAGTCCAAAATACATGAGATGAAGCACTGTCATCCTTGCCTCCAAGGAACACTAGCTGTACTTTCTCCAAGACATATATGCTTGTTCTTGGCCATTTATGCTTGGAAAGGTGAAGAATAGGAAGAAGAAAGGATGACCTTTAACAAGATGTGCTGACACAGTGATTTTAACATTGGGCTCAGGAAGACGGCACAGGACAGCACAGGGTTCAGATCGGTTGTTATGCGGGATTGGCTGACAATGGTGGCTATGAATAGGTTGACTTGACAGCACAGAACAATGACAACAACAGTGCATAGAGAGGTGATGTTTACATTATAGTCTAGTAAATATGCATTAGCGTTATAAACAACTTTTAAATATTCTGAGAATGACCAAAATAGCACGCAGTGGGAAAAATGGCTCTGAAGGACTTGCTGGATGCTGGGTTGTCACAAACCTTCAACTTGTAAAAAATGAAGCATTTTGTGAAACACAACAAAGTGAAATGCAGCAAAGGTAGGTGTGCCTGTGCATTTTCACCCCAGTCTGTGTTATTCTCCCCGAAAAACAGAGGAGAAGCACTAATCTTGGGTACTGAGCCTTCATGTACCATGGACTGTGATGTGAAACTGACCTAGAATCAGACTCAAAAGGAAAGAAACAGGAAGGAAAGCCTGTCATTATTTATTCCTTCTGCATTGGAACAGATGAAGATGAGGACTGTTTAAAAGGAACATGTTGTTGTTCTTGTTATGTGCCGTCAAGTCATTTGCGACTCATAGCAACCCCATGTACAACAGCCCTAAACCCTGCTCTATCCTGTGCCAATCTCA